AGAATTTGAATTATCTTAGATTTAAAAGACTGGGTTTTTTTAACCATATCCTTGCATGCTGAGGATTGTAAAAGATTTGCATTCAGTGCACCTACTGTAAATTTTAGGGAGCCAATGAAAAGATACTGCTGGAAAGTTTTGTCTCAAGGGATGGCCAATGGTCCTACACTATGTCAAGCCTCTGTGGCTTCTGCCTTACAGGAAATCCGTGATCATTATCCAAAAGCTTATATAATTCATTATATGGATGATATCTTAGTGGCTCACCAAGACATGAACATGCTACTTTCCCTTTTTGCTGACTTGCAGACAGCTCTGGAGAAGGCTGGACTTTGTATAGCCCCTGAAAAGGTTCAGCATTCTTCTCCCTTCCAATTTTTAGGTAGCATAATTGAGGGATGGGCTGTTCAACCTCTACATCTGCAGGTGAGAACAGATTCTTTAACCACCTTAAATGACTTCCAAAAGCTGCTGGGTGACATCAGTTGGATTCCACCAACTTTAAAATTAACACCTACTGACATGAGGCCTTTGTTCCATATTTTGTGGAGTGATTTGTCTCCCTCATCCCCTCGGCAGTTAACACCTAAAGCAATAGAGGCCTTGCATAAGGTATAATCTGCAATTCAAAATGCCCAACTGACAAGAGTAAATCAGCAGCTGCCAGTGAGTGTTAATATTTCCTACCAGCCATGCCCCCACTGGAGTTGTGTGGCAAGAAGGAGGGGTTATTGAATGGATCCATCTTGCTCATGCACCTGCTAAGGTGCTTACACCCTTTCATGATTTGGAAGCACAGTTGATTGCCAAGGCAAGACACCGATTAGCTCAATTAATTAATCAGGAACCGGCTGAGATTGTAGTTCCATTTACCAATTCTCAACAAAATTGGCTTTGGCAATTCTCAAATAATTGGCAAATTGCACTACTGTATTTCCTGGCAAAGTTGATAGCCATTAACTAGGGGACAAGATTTTACAGTTTATATCTACCACTGCATTCATTTTCCCTAAGGTAATACAATCTCAACCTATTCCCCAGGCTTTTACAGTTTTCACTGATGGGTCTAGCTCAGGACAGGCTGGCTATTACTGCAACAGGAGCTCTAAGGTATTTCAGACCAAGCACTCATCAGCCCAAAGAGTGGAGATCCAAGCTTTAACAGTAGCCCTTGAGGCTTTTGAAGATGAACCTTTATATATAGTGATAGCAGTTATGTGGTAGGAATGACTAAGGTCATCGAGACCACCACAGTTGGACATACTAGTAGTGAAGAGTTATATCATCTATTTACTAAACTAAGGGAGGTCATCTGGTCACGAAAATACCCATACTAGATCAGCCATATTCGTGCCCACTCTGGATTCCTGGGACCTTTAGTTGAAGGGAATGATGCTCTTGACCGCTTGCTGGTGCATGCTACAATTTCCACTCCTCTAGCCTTAACCCAACATTCTCATTCTTTGCACCATCAGAATGCAGCAGCACTGCATAAAGAATTTAAAATCTCTAGAGAGCAGGCTAGGCAAATGGTAAAACAATGCCCAGCATGGGTCATTCATCTACCAGTACAGTCATCTGGAGTTAACTCTTGAGGATTGAAATCAAATCCAATTTGGCAAATGGATGTGACTCACGTTCCTGAATTTGGGAAACAGTGCTGGGTGCACGTATCTGTTGATACTTTCTTGTTTCATTTTTGCAACAGGTGAGACTGGGGAGAATGTTAAGCATGTTATTTATTTTTTTCCTTTATTGATTTTAGAGAGAGAGGAAGTGAGAGGGAGAGAGAGAGAAACATTGATGAGAGAGAACATTGACTGGCCACTTCCTGCATGCCCCCCACTGGGGATCGGGCCCACAGCCTGGGCATGTGTTCTGTCTGGGAATCGAACCAGCAACTTCTCAATGCATGGATCAATGCTCAAGCAATGAGCCACACTGGCCAGACTAAGCATGTTATTAACCATTGTCTGGCCACTTTTGCTTGGCTGGAGAAACCCCAGGAAATAAAAACTGACAATGGGCCAGCTTACACCAGTTCTACCTTCCAAAAATTTTGCTTGCAATATAAAATTTGACGTAAAACAGGAATTCCTTATAACCCTCAGGGACAAGCAATAGAAGAAAGAGCAAATGAAACTTTAAAGCTACAATTACAAAAAAAGGGGGGAGATATAGGATACGCTCTTACTCCCCAGAATCAACTGAACCATACCTTATATACTTTAAATTTGTTAAATTATGATGCCAATGGCCTTACTGCTGCTGAGTGCCATCAGACAACCCAGCCACAGGCTTCAGCAGGGCTTGCCTGCTGGAAAAACCTGCAGACAGGTCAATGGAAGGGGCCAGATCCAATGATGATATGGAGAAGAGGCCACGTTTGTATTTTTCCAGAAGGTGCTGATCAACCTATTTGGGTGCCTGCCCTTTAAACCTGAGAATAAAACATCATATGGAGGCACCAACATTGTTAATATTATGGATCCAGGGAATATGAAGAAATATATTCAGACCGTGACTAAACTAGGATTTCCCTATAACACCCTGGGTTATACCTTATCAGCATCCTTCGCTGGGTTGTACCTTATCAGCATCCTTCACATATTGCCCTAACAGCACTACCCTTCAATTTAGGGGTTTTCCCCAATGACAGGATTATGCATATCCTATCCCTGTTAGCATCAATATCACGGGAACAGGATTTCAGATGTTAGAATAATGGTTTCATAGATTAGACCCTAAACACCCTAATCATGATCTCATGTCCCCTGGGGGCTTTGTAAGTAACATCCTTACCACCCCTAAGGGTCAAATGCAGAAGGATCTCTGGCAATTAGCTGCTGCACTGGATTTTATGAGTTATTCTGATTCTTCTTTGGCAAACATTGCATTGGCCTGTCACCCCACTAATCCTTGTTTTGGGTTGCAGGCTTGTGTGCAAGGCCCTCGTGTGATTGTGGCAGGCTCTGTAAATATTACTAAGCTTCCCACGAACTATTCTGTCTCATGCCCTGAGTGTACATTAACTGTAACAAGAGATAATAAGATGATATTTTAATTCTGTATCAGCCCTCTTTTGTTATGATCCCTACCAACATATCAGGAGACTGGTATCAAGAAACTGGGCTGCAAGCTTTGATAGAAATTAAGAACCAATTGACTCATCATAAAAGAGCTTTAGGATTGATTATTTTTGGCATTATTACTATTGTTGGTCTTATTGCTTCTACTGTAACTGCTTCATTAGTCCTGGCTCAAAGTATACATAATGCTCAATTTGTGAATGATTTAGCTCAAAATACCTCTGCTGCTTTACACAATCAAGAAAATATTAACACCAAATTAGAAGCAAAATTGAATGCTTTGGAAGCTGCAGTTATTAAGCTAGGAAATCAAATTGAGAACATTAAAGCTCGTCAAAAATTGCTTTGCCATGTTGCTTACAGTTTTATCTGTTACTTCAGTCCCATACAATAAAACCCAGTGGAACTGGGACAAAGTTAACATCTCCAGGGAATATGGACTCATAATATGTCTTGATTTTCAGCAACTGCATAGATATATACAGGATATTCAAAATAGCCATGATGATATTATCAATCCAACACAATTGGCTAAAGAAATTTCAGATGAGCTTAAGGGTTTCAACCCTTTCAATCTTCTTAAACATACTGCATGGTACTTGCTTGGATTTGTTATTGCTCTAATAATACAGTTGTCTCCTGTCAGTCAGCTGTCAGATCTTCTGAACCCAGCTCTTCTGAACATCCAAGTAGATGTTCACCGCATACATTTAAAGACAGAAAAGGGGAAGATTTAAAGACAAAAAGGGGGAAGATTTAAAAACAAAAAAGGGGGAGGTGTGGAGGGTGGCTGAGTCAAGGTCTCTTGTTGCTCCTGTGGTGTTTGCAAACCTCACCCAGGAGCATTCTGTGCCACGGACAAGACCCTGTGGTGTTTGCAAAGCTCACCCAGGAACAAGGCCCTGTGGTGTTTGCAAAGCTCACCCAGGAGCTTTCTGCCCAAGGCCTCTTGTTGTTCCTGTGTGCTGGCAAGGCCCACGCAGAAGCATCCTACCCAAGGTCTCTTATTGTTCCTGTGTGCTGGCAAGGCCCACGCAGGAGCCTTCAGAGCTGTGGGCAAGAATGTATGGACAGTCTAGACCTTGAGCTCAGAGGTCGGTGAAAACACCTGGTGTTTGAAGATAATACGCCCCCCCCCTTCATTGTTGCTATATAATAAACAGGATCACTGTTTCTCCATCAGAGAGCAGTGTCCCACCTGGCCCCAGCTTTATTCTCTATAATGTCTCTGTGTCTTTCTTAATCTCCAGTCGCCCCTCCTCAGGTCTGGTTCAACTAGCCGCACTGGTTGTGGCAGGACTTAGATTCAAGATCCTCATCATAGTATTGTTTATAACAAAACAAAAAAACCCTGACATATCCAAAATATCCTATAACACAAAAATGAAACATTATACAACTAATGAATTTTTAATCGCAATCATGAAAGAAATATATTAAATGATGTTTGAAGTGGACAAAGTCTCCTACAAAGTAGTATATAAAGCATAATCTTGTAATTCCAATTTGAAAAACATACTTTCACATATAGTGGTTGAGAATGAAGGCGAAGTTAAAGTCTCTGCCTCAGTTTCTTGTATTAGGAGGCTAAGTGTCTTCTGTAGTTACTAAGAATGAGTTGATTCAAGCAAAATAATACTTGATATGTAAACACATGATATTTGTTGGCTGTTACATACTCACCACTAAATAATGGATTACAGGTGATTTTTGTTTGCTGCTTTATACTTTTTTGTATTCTACATTTTCTTTGGTGAACATGTTTTACTATGACCAGAAAATAATTATTTTAATGCTCATTTTGTTTATTATAGAAACTGCTCTAGCAAAACTAAAGAAGTCAACACCAATAAACCATAATACTAACTTTTAGTAAACTTTATTATAAAGAACAAAAAAGAAACACACCATTATTTTATAATGATTTTTCTCACCCACAAGAACGTAGGTGGCAACCAGTGACTTTTTTATAAAACTATTTTGTTTAAGACTCTAATGAGACAATAGATGTCTTCTAAAGATTTAGTGGGGGGAGGTTCACCTGAAAAAAATTTTCCCCAGGAAATCCACAGTCTCTTGGCTTAAATGACCCATAAACAAATCCACATAGATCAACTTTCTGCCAACCTGGAGAAGATTTGTTTTCTTTGATCTGCTGTCATGTGTTCACAAGCTTCTAAAATATTTGCTAAAATTAAGGTCTGCTGAATGGTTTTTGCCTTCACCCATATTCTTCCATTCATTCCAAATACTATCTCCAGTGGGTAGAGTTTTCCCACTTCCTGTAGGATTTCACAGTCTGGAGCTAGCAGCCTGGTGAGGAAGAGGAAAGGAAATGAAATTTTAATGAAGTGGTAGTGTGTGACCTGACTTTTTTTTAGGAGACTCCTTTTCTAGGCAGTTCTCCATAGTTATTAAGGCCCCAACAACAACATTCCAAGAAAAAGCACATTAACATTTGCTGCCCATTTTCTTCTTGGAAGCTTTACACTTACCAGCGTATCAGAGTCACAGTGGTGGGCTATCCTCAAAGAAATCAAACTCTCTATGTCATCAACTTTACCAAAAATGTATAAAGTTCTTCCCCTACACTGTCAGAGCATCTTAATTCTAAGTTTTAAAATCATAGCTTTTTTTTTTTTATCTACAGTGCTAAAAGAATACCTTAAACGTACCTTCACGACCATGTAGGTTATCTCCTGGTACTAAATTCACTACTTGGAAAGAAGTGTGAAGTATTTCAAACCACAAGGGTGCTGCTTGGTTAATAACATGCTGCTCTAATAACCTGAACTAATTCTACAAATCTGCAGAATAAGTAGCAAAGAGTCATGCAAGATACCTTTGAACTTCAAGATCCAGAAGTAAAACCCTTTTATAGAGCACAGCTTTGGGTAGGTAAAGGTCTAAACACCTAACAAAGAGAATATGCCTCTGAGAACTATTTATTTTTATTTTTATTGATTTTTGGAAAGAGAGGGGAGAGAAACATTGATGTGAAAGAGAAGCATCGATCGGTTGCCCCCTGCTAATGCCGCGATCAGCCATCAAACCCGCAATCCTGGGTATGTGCCCTGACCAGGAATCAAACCCGCCACTTTCTGGTGTATGGAACAATGTGCCAATCAACTAAGCCACCTGGCCAGGGCTGGAAACTATTAAATCTACCAGGACAGAGAGCAGGAGCCTTCTGTGAATGTCTGCATAAGCTTTAGGATCATATCAGCCTAGCTGGACTGCTCCATTAGAGAAATTTAGTGATTTTGTACAACTGTAATTTGAATCTGTGTTAAAGTGACTTAAGGGGAAAGGCTAGTTTTTGTGTGTTTTAAATTTTTTTTTAATCCTCACCTGAGAATATGTTTTTATTGATTTTTAGAGAGAAAGGAAGGGAGGGGAAAGAGAAACACTGATGTGAGAAAGAAACATCAATCAGTTGCTTCCCATATGCACCTCAATGGGGGATCGAACCTACAACCCTAGGTATGTGTCAACCAGGAATCAAATCCACAACCTTTTGGTGTACGGGAAGACATATAACTAACTGAGCCGTCCGGCCAGGGTGGAAAGGCCGGTTTTTACATTTAGACTGACTGTATCAGCTATAAGGAACAGTAGACCTGAGAGAGAACAGTAGACCCAGACTCCAGATCCACACAGAAACCAGAATTCAATGTATTCACATTAAGAGACGATGAGACTAAATGCATGAGTTTACAACTATGCTTAAATGGATACTGATTTTTTAACTCAGGAAACTGAGATGTTGTTACGAAGAACCCAAATCCCAAAGATTGATCAGCTTTCCAAGAAGGTATAATTATAAAAGACCAGCAAGCCAGAAAGTATTAGGACTTACTTTCTAATTAAGCCCAAAGTCACTTTAAAAAGCAGACCATCCTGTCCAATCACACCCATTCCATTGGCTCGTCCACAGCTGTCAATACAAACCATCTCTGGTTCCATATCTTTATTAGCAACCACAAATTGTCCATAAATGAGATCTCCAACCTACAATGATAATTAAAAAACAGTTCATTGTCTATGAGCAAACCATTCTATAGGTGCTATTATTTGTTCTTTCCCATAGGCAGCAATGCCAGCCACCTATAGTTCTGTGGCTATGGGACTGACTACACTCCAGGATTCTCAGTCACTCTGGCATTGGATCTTAAGAGACAGCAACGTTAAAACATATACCCTCCTCCTTTACCCACCAGGAAATCTGCAGACTGGGAACTACCTCAAAGCCAGAAAATAAATACCCTCTAGGGTTACACTGTCCAATATGGTAGCCGTTTACCCACATGTAGTTATTTAAACTCACTTAGAAAAAAAAATCCTCACCCAAAGATATTTTGCCATTTATATTCAGATAGAGTGGGGCAGATGGGGACAGGGGGTGGATATCATTGTGAGAAAGAAATGATTGGTTGCATGACCTGGGCCAGGAACCAAACCACAACGTAGGTACGTGCCCTTGACCAAAATCAAACCGGTGACTCTTTGGCCCATGGGCCGATGCTCTTAACTGCTGAGCCAAACCAGCCAAGGCTATTTAAACTCACTTGTATTTATTTTTTAAATATGTTTTTATTGATTTTTTTAGAGAGAGGAAGGGAGAGATAGAAACATCAATGTGAGAGAAACATCAATGGGCTGCCTCCTGCATGCCTTCTACTGGGGATAAAGTCTGTAACCCAGGCATGTGCCCTGACAGGGAATTGAACCTCTCAGTCCATGGGACAATGCTCAATCCACAAAGCCATACCAGCAGGGCTAAACTCACTTTCAAACTAATTAAAATTCGATATTTAACATTTAGTTCCTCAGTTGCATTAGCCACATTTCAAGTGTTCAATAGGCACATGGACCTAGTGGCTACCATAGTAATCATTATGGATGTAAAACATTAGTGTCTTCACAGAAAGTTCTATTAGATAGCACTGCTCTAGGGACCTACAGAAGACAGATGGATAGAAGAAACTTCTGGCATGCACGTTATTCAAATCAAAATGGAAAAATAGTAATTCACTGACACTTCTCCATGCAAGATTTACTTAAAAACTTCACAGAATTGAACTTCAAAATGAAACTAAAAAAATTGAGAATGAACTTTTTCTGTTAAGTACCTGTTAAGTTGGTGACTATAGGCACAAGAAAGAAACAAAACATTCTCCGCCTTTCAGAAGCATTTGGTCTTTGAGGACAGTGGGGGATGTACAGATAAACAACTTCCTTCCTTCAAGGCCAAATTTAGTTACTAGAGCAGTTATAAGAAAAAGTGACTGCCCTGGCCGGTTTGGCTCAGCGGTTAGAGCGTCCGCCTGCGGTCCGGAGAGACCCGGGTTCGGTTCCCGCTAAGGGCATGTACCTCGGTTGCGGTTTGTCCCCGGCCCTGGTTGGTCGTGCGGGTGGCAGCCACTCGATGTGTCCCTTTCACATCGATGTTTCCCTCTCTCTCTCTTCCTCTCTCTCCCTCCTACTCTGTCTGTACAAAAAATGGAAAAATGTCCTCGGATGAGGATTAAAAAAAAAAAAAAAAAAGTGACTGAAGATTAGGGGTGGTTTTATAGAAATGGTGGTATTTGGCCTGAGTCTTTTTTTTTTAATTTTTAGAGAGAGAGAATGGGAGGAGAGAGAGACAAATATCGATGAGAGAGGACATTGATTGGCCACCTCCTGCATGCCCCCTACTGGGGATTGGGCCCACAACCTGGGCATGTGCCCTTACTGGAAATCGAACCTGCAATCTCTTGGTGCATGGGTCGATGCTCAACCACTCAGCCACACCGGCCAGGCTGGCCTGAGTCTTGAAAGATATGTGGGGGAGGAGGAAGGTCAAAGGCAGGGAAAAAGAGAGAACTGTCTGTAATACTTTCAACAATTAAAAAAAAGATGAGTATGTGTTCCATAGGCTGAAAAAGGGAGAGACCAATCCAGACAGAGGAACAGCATGAGCAAACAACAAGAGTAGGGCATTATGAGTTCAGTAGTGCTGTTAAATAGTTTGGTGTGGTTCAAGCCCAGCTGTGTGGAAATATAATTATGGATGAGGGAAGACTTTAGGAATATAATGACAAAGAAACCTGTAAGCTTTGAAGAAAGGGGAATGTGTGAGGCTGTCAGGTCTCAAAAGCCTAGATGGAGGGGCAAAGTGTACAGGCAGGGATGTTAATGAGCAGGTAATCGACCAACTCCAGTCAAGGGTATCTAAGTTCTGAACCTGCAAAATGGAGATGCAGGATAGACTTAAAGATAGAATCAAATAGGATCAATAAGATTAGCCAACAAAAGACATGAAAGGTGAGTGATAGGGGGCAAAGAAACCACCAAATTCCTGGCTTGGATGGGCAGGAAGATTGTGGCTATGCTACCTGAAAAGCCCAAATAGAAAACTTGAGGAAACAAGACTACTCTTCTGTCAGCTCTAAAAAGGGATTGTTGGGAAACAGTAATGTAACTGAACTTGTGAGATGCCAGTTCCAGGACCTACAATCAGGATAGATGGATGGCTGATATGGCAATTTGCACCACTTATCCCTCCTTCCTCCCTGAGCTTACTTCCTTGTCGAGTGGAAGTGGACAAAACAGATAACAGTAGAGAAAACAGATAAAACTTTCAACTCAGTAGTGATGAAACCACCCCCAATACAGCAAATGTAACCTAAGTATGTGACTCTGGTCACAGAGCTGAACAAAAGAAACTCCTGCTACCTGGAGTGATCACACAAATGTTCAGAGATCACCCTATAGAACTGGGATAATAGTCATGCTTTATAGACAATTCAGGTAGCCTTCAGAATATTTGGACGCTTTTCCCATCATTACCTGCACATTTGGTCTGTTTCTTTTAGTTGCACCTTCAAATGCCAAGTAAGACAAAGAAGCTGGTTCACTCCCTCCAACATCAACTTTGAATATATCTCCAGATTTTGCTGTCACTATGCCAATCACATGGTCTCCTTTCACTGGGACATACTACAAAAGAAAGCAGAATGAGAACAAACATAAATGACGATCATTTCCAAGATAACTTGGAAGATATCTTCAGCAAATCCTTAGTGGTTACTTTATTATGTTTGTCATTGGGAATACTTAGAAAATATTTTGAAATCTAAGTTTATAAATTAATACAAATCTTACAACAAACATGGTCATATGCCACTTCCAGTAGAAGAAAATCAATCACATCATATAATTCTCAGGTTTACAGCTTCTAGTAGTCTGTTAATTTGCACAGGTAGCCCATAACTTTTCAGTATCCTTATCAGGAAGTCCCTACCTTCTGTTTGCACATAAGTCCAGTGGCACAGGGGGCCCTCACAACCAAGGTAGGCCATTTCATTATTAGACAATTTTTCCTATATTACAGTTCTTAAGTATTTTAAGAGAAATTTAACTTTCTGTGACATCCACTCACTGAGCCTGGTTCTGCCCTTTTGAACCCCTAAAGATAAGCCTGGTTGTGCCTGATCTTTGGGATTTTGAAGACAATTAACCATGTCTCACAGTCCTTAGTCCCTTATATGCCAAGATTTCCACACTCCCTTCTCTCCTGGTCTCCCTGGACCAAGTTCCAGGTTGTCATACTCCCTCTAAAGACGCAGAAGTGGGCACAGACATGGTGGCTCTAGGCTAGCCTCACCAGAGGAGGGCTCCAGAGCCCCTCCTGGTCTCTTTCAAGAAATCTTCCCAAAGCGGGGATACCACCCCCACCGCCGTACCACCCCTCCGCAGTCCCAACTCACCCGTTTCTGCTGCGAGTCCACCCAGTACACGCCGCCGCCGCCGCCGGGCTCCTTGTGACGGAGGCGGCCGCACTTGGTGACCAGCAGGCGGTCGCCACAACGCCGCAAACCCGGGCCGCACACAACGCGCACCCGGGAGCGCGCCCCGGGGTTTAGGAGCAGCGGCCGCTCCCCTGCACCTCCCAGGCCCTCAGCATCCTGCTCCGGCAGCAGCAGCTCCTCACCCGGGAGCACCACCTGATCTAGCACAGTGCGCGCCGCCCGCGCCTTGCCAGGCGCAAGCGACTGGGCTGCGACAGCCGCCGCCTGAGCCATCCCGGGCAGCACCGTTTCCGGCTTCCGCTTCTAGCGCGGCGCCCAATCGCCAGCCCGCCCGAGGCTTTCGGTTTTCGGCAGTAGCGGTCTGTTGGACTTGAGCCTCCGTCGATGAAGCCTGATCCCTGTGGGCCGGAGGGTCCCCACAAGGTGGCTGAGATCGTGTCTCTAGCCAGCTGCCGTCCTTCCGCAGGTCGGTACGAGAAGCACTCACCTTGCAGAGCCTCTGCTTCCGGTGTCTCGGGTCGCAACGTGGGATGCCAGACGCTCGCACAAGTGGTTCCGTGAGCCTAACCGGAACTGAGCCGAGGGGCTTCGGGAGTTGGCCCTTCTCTCCAACTCCGCCCTCAGAAGGAAAAGTATTTTCCTTTTCCAAAATAAAAGCTTTTTGGTTGTTGCTGGAGAAGATATCTATTCACATTGTGGAAAGCACAGAGAAGATAAAAAGAAAACAAAACGTATTTGTCTCCCTTGCTAGGCTGTCAGCTGGTTCTCATTATTTGTAACCTAGGATCTGGCACAAAAATAGGTAATACCTGATAAGTGGATGTTAACATTTTAGTGTGTATTTCCCCCTAGACTTTTTTCGGCAAATATATACATATAGTGAACATTTCTACATAAGTGAGCTATCCCTACATGCCTTGGGAAAATCAGTAACAGCAGTTAAATCCTGGCTGCTATTTTCTTTGGGGCACAGTTGTTGTTTCTTTTCTTTTTTTCAATCCTCACCCCAGGATATGTTTTTTATTGATTTTTAGAGCTCCAGGAGGGGGCGGGAGAGGGGAGAGAGAGAGAGAGAGAGAGAGAGAGAGAGAGAGAGAGAGAGAGAGAGAGAGAGAGAGAGAGGGAAACATCCATTGGTTGCCTCCCCTACACGCTGACTGGGGATGAACCTGAAACCTAGGTATGTGCCGGGACCAGCGAATTAACCCAAAACCTTTTGGTGTAGGAGACTATGTTCCAACCAACTGGACCATTGCGCCAGGGCTTGCTCATTTTTTGAGGCATCTGCTTCCAAAGTGAATTCTTAGATTTTCAAGATGTTTAAGACAGACCATCTCTAACATGCCTTCCAAATCTGGCAACATATTTGCGAACCAACTGAATAAGAGGCCAACTGATATGTAACTTTTGCTGTTTTTCAGTCAGATTGTAAGAATTGATCTTGGTCAGTTATATGAAAATGCTAAGTGTTACAGTTGCTGTAAAAACTTGATCACCGTGTCAGCCCTGAAATTATAGATGATGCAATGGTTACTTCTATTGTGGGATAAGGTAGGGGTCAGGACAGGTGTCCCCAAAAAGGTACTATTTGAGTGAATGTTTAACATTTTTTAGTTTACTGGTTTCTAAAAATTACAAATTAACTACATGCTGATTTATACACATAAATTAATAGCAAAAGAGTCCATGGAAAAATGTTAATATCTTTATTCAAGTAAAGGATTTAAACACAAATGCTCAGAATTATCACTCCATAAATTAGCATCTACTTGCTACACATGTTTTTGATCACAAAGAATTCTAGCTAGGAAGAACTAAAGTGTTTTAAAGTTTATAAGAAGAGCAAATATAAGAACCAGCCATTACCCCCGTACTGAGATACAGTACCCAAGGAAGAACTCCTTTCCCTTGGAAGAACTGATTAAGACCTTTCCCATGGCCAGGACTCATTAAATAGCAAGAAGTGACTGGGAATCTGTACCAGTAGAACTTACTAGAAATCCATCCTCCAGAACTTGCTGGTACTTCGAGGATGCTGAGGAAAGCTATTCCTGGGAGGTGTCTCCTGGAAGTGTGTTACAAAACTACTGAATAGGGTGGTAGGGAAAACTGATGGCTGAAGCTGCCCTGATTCAGGAAAATACGAGAGCATACTGGAGCCAGGAAGCAAAACCCATTCCTCCTGCAATACCGCTGCAGGGCCTTCTACCTATAAAGCTTATCTTCATGATCCATAGCAAAGGAAAACTATTTTAAAGGTCCAGATCCATTTTTCTCGGAGCAGGCAGTGAAGGATGACTTTACAGCTGAGTAGCAATACTTTGATAACTAGCCAAAGGTCTCTTGAGGTTGTAAGATCAACAAACTCATCAGTAAGAGCAATAAAGTAGAGTCTTCCACAGATGAATTCTATCAAATATTTAAAGAATTAATGCCCATTCCTCCTAAACTCTTCCAAAAAAATAGAGGAGGGAACACATTTCAACTCATTCGATGAGGCCAGTATTAGCCAATATCAAACCAAAACTACACAGGAAAAGAAAACTACAGATCAATATCCCTTATGAATATAGACATTAAAATCCTCAACGAAGTACTAGCAAACTGAATGCAGCAGCATATAAAAAGAATTATACACCATGACCAAATGGAATTTATCCCAGGATTGCAAGGTCTTTTAACATCTCAAATCAATTAATGTAATATACCATATCAATAGAATAAAGGATAAAAATCACATTAACATCTCAATACATGCAGAAAAAGCATTTGAAAAAGTCCAACACCCTGTCATGATAAAAATGCACTCAATGAACTAGGATTAGAAAGGAACCTCCTCGCCCTGGCTGGTTTGGCTCAGTGGTTAGAGCATTGGCCCAAGGACCAAAGAGTCTCGGGTTCGATTTCTAGTCAAGGGCATGTACCTTGGTTGCAAGTTTGATCACTGGCCTAGGTTGGGGTCATGTGGGAGGCAACCAATCAATATGTTTCTCTCACATCGATGTTTCTCTCTCTCTCTCTCTCTCTCTCTCCCCCTTCCTCTCTCCCACTCTATCTAAAAAAAAAAAAAAGGAAAAATATCCTCAGGTGAGGATCTAAAAAGAAAGAAAGAAAGGAACCTCCTCAAACTATAGAAGACATTTATAAAAAACCCACAGCTAACATCATACATAATGGCAAAAGACTGACAGCTTTCCCCCTAAGTTAGGAACAAGACAAGGGAGTCTATTCCCTCTACCACCTCTATTCAACATTGAACTGGAGAGTCTATCACAGGCATTTCATCAAGAAAAAGAAGTAAAAGGTATTCAAGGAAGAAGTACAATTATCTCTATTTGTAGGTGATATGATCTGGTATGTAGAGAACCCTAAGGAATCCATCAAAAACAAAAACAAACAAAAAACCTGTTAGAACTAACAAACAAGTTCAGCAAGGTTGCTAGATTCAAGAACAATATACAAAAATCAACTGCATTTCTGTACACTTGAAATTAAGATTAATGAAATTAAGAGAACCATTCAGCCCTGGCCGGTTTGGCTCAGCGGTTAGAGCGTCGGCCTGCGGTCCGGAGAGACTCGGGTTCAGTTCCCGCTAAGGGCACGTACTTCGGTTGCAGTTTGTCCCCGGCCCTGGTTGGTCGTGCGGGTGGCAGCCACTCGATGTGTCCCTTCACGTCGATGTTTCTCTCTCTCTCTCCCTTCCTCTCTCTCCCTCCCACTCTATCTGTACAAAAATGGAAAAATATCCTCGGGTGAGGATAAAAAGAAAAAAAAGAGAGAACCATTCAATTTACAGTAGCATGAAAGAGAATAAAACATGTGGGAATAAATTTAACAGAAGAAATGCCAAACTTAAACTCTAGAAACTACAAAACACTGTTGAAAGAAGTTAAAGATCTAAATAATTCGAAAGGTACCTGATCTTCATGGATCAGAAAACTTAATAATATTCCCTAAATTGAAATATAGATTCAGTGCAATCCCCATCAAAATCCCTACTGTCCTCATTGCAAAAATTGACAAATTGGTCCTAAAATTCATTTGGAAATTCAAGGGAGCTAGAATAAAAAATATACATATTGAAAAGAACAAAGTTAGATGACTGACACTTCTGAGTTCAAATCTTACCACAAGGTTTACAATAATCAAGGCAGTGTAGTACTGGCATAAGCACAGGCATAGATCAATGGAACAGAGGTGAGAATATGGAAGTAGCTCTCCATATTTGTGGTCAACTGATTTTTGACAATGGTGCCAAGACAATTCAATGGGGGAAGAAAAATCTTTCAACAAATGGTGTTTGGACAACTGGATATTCAAATGCAAAAGAATGAAGTTGGACCTCCTTTCAAACTATATACAAAAATGAGCTCAAAATGGATCAAAGTCAGAACCAAATGTCAGAACTAAAATTATTAAACTCTTAGAAAAAAACATAGAGCTAAATCGTTGTGACCTTGGATATGGCACTGGTTTTTTAGATATGGCACCAACAAAAGCACAGACACCCACTAAAACAAAATAAAAAAATTGTGCTTCATCAAAATTAGAAACTTTTGCCCTGGCCAGTTTGGCTCAGCAGTTAGAACATTGTCCCGCATCCCACGGACCAGTCATGGGTTTGATTCTGGTCAAGGGCACATACCTAGGATGTGGTTTGATCCAAGGCCCTGGTTGGGGTCATGCAGGAGGCAACCAATTGGTGTGTCTCTCTTACATTAATGTTTCTCTCTCTCCCACTCCCTTCCACTCTATCTGAAAATCAGTGGGAAAATATCCTTGAGTGAGGATTTTCTTGAAAAGTGGAAACTTTTGTGCTTCAAAGGCATCATCAAGTAAGTGAATTAACTAATGAATGGGAGAATATATTTGAACATCAGTCTGTCACGATGACTCTCAGTGTCCTGATGCCAGTCTACCTTCCCAGCATCATTTCCCCCAGACCCTTTTTCAAGTTAAAGTGGGCTACATTTTACTCTCCATAACATTCAGGTTTCATGTCATCCCCCTTCGTTAGCTTGGCTCACACTTTACTGGGCCCCTGGGATGCTTTTTCTCCTCTCCATGCTTCACAGTCCATCTCACCTGCCTTCACTTATGATGAACTTTCCTCCTTGGAATTCCCACAGGCCCCTTCACCTGTGCTTTTCCAGTGGCATGCAGAGTCTGTCTGCCTTATATTTCACAGCTTCCACAGCGTCTCTATCCTACTGGGAAGAGACAGATCCCATGTTCAAATCTTAGTTCTGCCATAAAAAATGCACATGAACTTAAACAAAGCACCTACATGTCTCAAAGCCATGGACTTACTAGAAAGATGGTATGAATGCCCACTCTGCAGAGCTATCATGAGGATTAAATGAGACATGTGTAAAGCTTCCAGAATGGTCCCAGAGGCCAAAGTGGATTCCCTCCTTCTCTGCCTCTGCCCACCCCCAAATAGTAGGTTAGGATGTCTCTTCTCTTTTTTTCCCTCCTCATTAAAAAGTGGTTGTCCAGACCTGATGGGCCTCAGAAGATATTTCTTGAATTTAGTAATTCATTCAACACAATTTCTAAGCAACCACTATATGTCAGGCATTCCTCTGGGGGTATGGTGGTGAACATATCAGAAAAATGCCTAGACTTTCAAACATTCTAGAGAGGAGAAAATAATTAACAACTGAACAAAATAAAAGAACAAGTTAACCGTAAAGAGTATTAAATATCATGAAGAAAATAAAATAGGGCATTTGGTAGTGAGGGACTGACAATAAATGTATAAGCGAATGGGTAGATGAATAGGTGGGTGTACAACTCTGTTGCTAAAATATTGCTGAGCCTGTCTATGTTCTTTTGAGCTATTATCCAGCTTCAATCTCCCAACCAACAGCTTACCCTCTTCTTGCTTTATCCAAAGCCAGGTCCTTTGAGTGTCAGAGGTCATGTTAATTCTTCCCAGAGAAATGTACTAAGCGTAATGACACAGTGAACATGGAACTGTCACCAAGCTTACAATGTCCTGCTGATCCCTACAGTAAAAGTTCTGATCCTCTGGGCCATGGAACAGAAACATCTGTTCTCTGCACTTATTCCAGAGGTTGAGGGTCATCAGTCTTCATGCCCCCAACCTTCCTTCCTGACCCCACCTGAGTGGAGACCTTGCAAACTGTTCCCTGAGGGCCTCTGGTGCTAGCCAAAAGATAACTTCAGGACAGGGACATCATCCCATTTGCCCTGCTGAGAGCCTCCTGCCTAGTTGCCAGACCTTTGTTCTTCCAGGATCAGTTTCTCAGGCAGTGCTCCCCTAGTGACTGTAGGGTGTACTGTCACACCTGGTTTCCTGAACTATTCTATTTTTAGGTATTTAGTGGTTTCCGGTATTTTGCTTCACCAAGGGTAATAATTATTAGTATAGTCTTTGGAATCCAATATACTTAGATTTAGATCCCAGCTCTGACACTCTCTAGTTGTGTGACCTTGGGAATTCATGTCACTTCTCTGAGCTTTGGTTCCTGTGTCAATAAAATGGGAGTGTAATTAAAATACTACTTCTGCCCTGGTCGGTTTGGCTCAGCAGTTGGAGCGTTGGCCTAAGGACCAGAGAGTCCCGGGTTCGGTTCCCACTAGGGGCACATACCAAAAAAAAATTTTTTTTTAAATTTAAATAATAAAATAAAATACCACTTCTTAGGGAAATGAAGGTATAATTATCTGAGCTTCACTTCTCTCATGATAAAAGTTTTGGGCCCTGGCCGATGTGATTCAGTTGATTGAGCATCATCCCCTGCACCAAAGGTTGCCTGTTTGATTCCCATGCAGGGGATATGCCCAGGTTGTGGGTTTGGTCTCTGGTCAGGGAGCATACAGGAAGCAACCAGTTGATGTTTCTCTCTCACACTGATGTTTCTCTCTCTTCCTTCCTTTCTCTCTAAAAATCAATAAAAACTTATTTTTAAAAAAAGATTTTGGATTGGGGTCCTTATGTGCTAAGAGTCTCTGTGTATTGGTTCTGATATTTTTGATGCCATGGGTGTTTAGGGTAGAAAAAGGTGCTTGTATTTAGAGTGAGTAAAGAAGATTTCTTGGCGCAGACAGTGCTGAGCCAGAGTCCCAGCTTCGCATTCTATTGGACTTGACCATAATATCCATCTGAAAAGTTTATTTTGCCCTGCCTTTTCCCTTTTACTCTAACCTTGGATTTTTTCATAAATGCCCATTTCATTAGGCTTTTTGTTTTATTGGCTGTATTGTGACAAACAGAGATTCTGCTTCTGACTGTGTGCTTCCTGCCAGGTCTGGGTGAACTGGAGAAAGTCTGGCCTCCCTGCTTGGGAAAAGGCAGTACTGGAGTTTGCACTTGCTGTTTCCCAAGCTAATGATGTAATATATGACCATCTCAAAAAGCTCAAGGTGCATGACCTCAATTGAGAAGATGCATTTCAGCTTTTTATGCCATATCCAACTGCCTTGCTCATTTTGTCAGTCTTGTTCCTAACAAAGAATTCTATTTGATGGACAGAACCAATAACATCAAAGACATCAGTAATGAATCTGGTACTCTCAAAATATAAAAGTCTGAACAGAAAGGCCACTGTTCACATTTCAGGCACATTGCATTATAAGACATCAGTTGGGAAGTAGTTTCTTGGTTTTTTTTTTAATCCTCACCTGAGGATATTTTTTTATTTATCGTCAGATAGAGTGGGAGGGAGGGAGAAAGAAGGAGAAAGAGAAACATTGATGTGAGAGAGAGACATTGACTGGTTGCCTCCCCCACAACCCGACTAGGGCCGGGGACAAAGTGCAACCAAGGTATGTGCCCTTGACCAGAATGGAACCCATGACTCATTGATCTGCTGACCAACGCTCTAACAGCTGATCAAACCAGCCTGGGCCAGAAATAGCTTTTAAAAAACAGATCTGGATAGGGAAGAAAGTAAATAAATGTGATCCCTGCTTGTTTGCTGAAATAGATCCTAAGTGTTGGGGGTATCCAGGGACATGTGATACCTGGACCGAGGGGAAACCTTTGACAATTGTTTACTTTTGTTGTGATCTAAAAGAGCATCAGGACCAAAGGAGTTCAGAGAATGCTTTAGGCATTTCTGATGAACTGATATCTGTGAATTTCAAGAACTTAGGTTGAATTTTTTTTTTTTGCTTTAAAAAATAGTGTCTTATATAGACTGTGATTTGAAATAAATTCCTTGTTAAAATGGTTGTATTTACAAACTCTCAAAGGCAGTGGGTCAATAGGAATAGACACAGTTAAAGTTGTTCTGTCTTCAGTGCTTTCTCGGTTAGTTTATCTCCAATGTTTTGTTTGTTTGGTTTTGGTTTTTACTGATTGATTATAAAATCATGGTCACTTAATTAGTCCTGATATAATTTATTCTTATTCTAGGTTTCAGTAAAAATTATTTGGAATAAGTGAGCACTCAAATTTTAAGTAGAAGCATAAGAAAAAAACTCTGGTATTACTGAACAACTTGTTCTGTGTGTTACAACTGCTGCCTTAAGTTTGTGGCTATCTTAACTTTTCAAGATTCATTCTCAATACCTAAGTGCTACAGGTACATGTAAACCTACAAAATGTTTTTGTTACCATTCTATAAATTGTCAGTGAACAGTTCTATTCAGTTTGGGGACTATAGTGTGTTAATTTTGAATTGCCTGAACTGTGAAATCTGATTGTATTGAGCCAGCACAAACACAGAGTTGGGTTTTTTCTGTTGAAACTGTAACTTAAATACCTTGGAATATGTAACCTTTAAAATTGAGTTTTAGCTCCGGCTGGTTTGGCTCAGCAGTTTGGCCCGCAGACCAAGGAATCTCAGGTTCGATTCCGGGCCAAGGGCACATACCTCAGTTGCGATTTGTTCCGGGACCTGGTCAGGGTCGTGTGGGAGGCAACCAGTCAATGTGTCTTTCTCACAACAATGTTTCTTTCCCTCTCTCTCTCTCCCCCTCCCTCCTTCCCTTCCACTCTATCTAAAGATAAATGGAAAAAATATCCTCAGGTGAAGATTAAAAAATAAATAAAATAAAATTGAGTTTTAGCCCTGGCCAGTTTGGCTCAGCGGTTAGAGCATTGGCCTGCAGACCAAAGAGTTATGGGTTTGAGTCCAGTGAAGGGTACCTTGGTTTTGGGTTCGGTCCCTGGCTGTGGTATCATGTTCAAAGTATCATGGTCAAAGTTCTGTATACCATAACATTTTAGCTATTGGCCATAAGTTGGGGGTCAAGCAGAGGGCCTCTAAGTATTTATTGCAGCCAGAATTTGTGGGTCTGAAGGGGCATTATTAATCGTAAGGCAGACCTCTACCCATTCTGCTCTATGGGGACAACATGGGGAATATCTCCAGAGGAATAGCTACCTTGATCTTCTCTGAACTCAGGACACTTGCTTCTTGGCCTTTTTGCAATCAGCTCATACACAGGAGAGCTGAATAACTAACTTTATGTTGGGAGCACCTGCTGAATGTTCAGCCCTCTCTGAATTTCATTCCTGTCCTCCAGAGATCCTTCAGATCTATTCTCATTGGATAGATCTTTCGACAAAGATCCTCCAGATTCTCTCTCAGTCACCAAATGTGAGCTTTCTACAACACAGCTCTTGATCAAGGTCTAGAAGAATTCAGTTCCTATATGTACCCCTCCTTGTACCTCAAGCTTTCCTTTATTGAAGACTCTACATCCCTTTCCCCAAAACACCCAGTTCCTGTTAACCCCTTTCTGCAGAGTTCATTGTATTTATCTTCAAGAGCAGTGGTAAAGGGTCTTACATCTGTCATGTCCTCCATACCCTGCCTGGCAGATGTAAACAGGGTTGACCCTGGGTTCTACTGCTTGGAAGGTAGATTTGATTCAGGTCTCTAGCTCCTCTCTAACTCCTGGCTGGATATACATTCTCCATCCCGCAGAGAGGAAGCCTTTGGCCTTGATAAAGTCTTGACCTACTGAGCAGTGGCTAGGAATTGGGCAGATCTTCAGAGTACCAATATGCCTCCTTTTTCTGTACAGGCCAGGGCTTTTTAGTGTAGAAGTTACCTGAGTCCTTAGACTCCCAGGCGGAGTAGGCAGTATACTGTGGCACTTACTATATGCAACCTGCACACAGTTTGATAATTTCTTCCCCTCGCTGCTCTCACTGTTAAGGGGGAACAACAGAACGTAATCAATCATACCCAGCCTCTTGAAGTAGTCAGGCCCACTCATCCCCAGGCACCCAGTCAAAGTCACTGACAGCTACACGCGGTGCTCATTTGCTAACTGTCCCATTCAGCCCCAGCCCTGGGCACCCTCAGCAGTACACGCAAACACCTGGTCGCTCGGTGCTCCCGCTTTCGCGGTCCCCGGCGGATGATGGCCGAGGGGCGGCGCGGGTTTCCCAGCCGGCGGGGTTAGGCCGCCGCGCGCCGGAAGTTGCAGCAGGAGCGGGAGCGCTGAGCTGTAGGCCGGTGGGGCAGCGGCCGGAGCCGGGGGCGGGGGCGTTGGTCATGTTTCCCTTCGGGCCAGTTAGCCCCGGAGGGGACCGGAGGGCCGGAGCCGGGACTGAGGAGCCGGCAGCCCACGGGGAGCAGGCGGCAGCCGTCGGGCCGCTGCCTTCCCCGCTCGCGCCGCCACAGCCCGGGGCTGACGCAGCCCCTCCCCCGTCGCCCTCCTGGAGCCCTTGCTGCCCTGGCAGCCCGTCGCTGTCGCCGGCCGCGCGCGCCGGGGAGCTCGGGCAGCCCGGAGCTCTGGAGTCCTCTGCTGCTTCCGCCCAAGGAGAGCCGCCACAGCCCTCCCCGCCGCGCCGGCGACCCGGGCCGGACTGCAGGGCCGGGAGCCGGGGCCGGCACGGCCTCTGCGCCAGCCTGGGCGGCCCTGGTGCCCGGCTGTTTGGGTGGCTGAGGGAGCGCAGCCTGGGCCGCGGGCTGTTCGTGGACCCGGCGCGGGACAATTTCCGCACCATGACTAACCTCTATGGTTCCATCCATCCCGCGGACTCGGTGTACCTCAGCACTCGCACCCACGGTGCCGTCTTCAACCTCGAGTACTCGCCCGACGGGTAAGCGCGGCCCCTCGGAGGGCGGGTACCGCCTCCGCCCGGCTTGGCTGCCCAGGGTCCGCTCGCTCGGCCGCCTGGGGCCGCGGGCCTCGCCCCGGGCGCCGTCTGAGGTGCTCCGTCGCAGTCGCAGGCCCCGTCCGGCCCTTTGTGGTAGGCCGCCCGGGGCCTCCTTTGCTCACCTCTGGACGCCCAGGCCCCGGGGAGGAACGCCCGAGGCCGCCCCGCAGGCTGTCAGAGCCCGTCCAGAGCCAGGGTCTTCGGACACGCAGTAGATGCTCAGTAAATGCACGGAATAAATGCCCATTCGTTTCCTGTCATCCTGGGCTTGCGTTTTTCTCATCTAGGCTTGTGCCAGGGGTAGGAAGCTTGCAGGTGCCCTGTGCCCGACTTGCCCTGGGGACAAGTGTGCATTCCTTTGCTCCAGGAGAGGTGTCTTACGATGTAGGGCATGTGTGGAGTTCCCAGGCTAGATCACATGCTTCTGTTAAGGGGGTTCAGCCTTTTTCTGGCTGATTAAATATTTCATGTCTGGCCTGGATTTACTTTGGGCCAGTTTTCAAAATACATCTTTTAAAAACTTTGTTTTGTGAGTACACAAACAAGTTTAATCGCACTCAATGGGAAAAAATTTACACACAGTTCCACCATGAGAGGGCATAGTTAATATAACTCTTATCCAATTAAAGCCTCTTGATTCCTGGTCATTTGCTTATTCATTCATTCATTCATTCATTCATCCCCCCATCCAGCAGACAGTTGTTGACCACTTGTATGTTTCAGATGCAGAGGTTGCAATGCTATGCAAACCAGCCAATGGCTCCACTTTCATTGAGCTTGGGACCAATTGGTTCAGCTAAGTATTAATAACCGTGCTAAATGATTCATAATGTATATTTACAAATTGAGGACAGGGTTTTGAAGTTTTCCTGATGGTGACACTTAACGAAGATCAGAGAAATGAGTAGAAGATGAATTAGTCAAGATAGGCTTGGGGAAGGTAAGGAAGTATTTCAGATGGAGGAACTGGTGGCTGGAGAGGCAGCATATCATGTTAGAGAAGCTGAAAGAGGATTAGTTAACAAAGCACAACTTTTTGCTAAAGAAAGACCTAAAATATTCTAAGGAAGGAGCAAAGCAACAGAATATGGAGTCACAGTGAGCAGGTACACCCTATTCCATTTCACTGATGCAAATGCTTCTTACTAGTTACACTTGGTGCTGGGATATCCTTATAACAATTTGATGGAACTTGTAGCAATGCATGTGCACCTGAATACAGGGAACATTGGTGAGAGAAGAAACTATTTTGCTGAAGTTTATTCTTGGAACCCCCTCTCTCCTCTCCTTCCCTATTTTTAAGGCTCCTTCCACTTAATTCCTCTCTTCTCCATATCCAGTTCCTCTCCTCCCTACCTCCTACTTATTCTGTCAGGTCATAAGAAGTAGGCATTTCTATTCTTTGGAAGTGGCATAATAGAGAGGGACAGAATTGGTTATGAAGAAGAAATTCCATTGTCAGTGATACTAGAATGAGGAATATATTACTGATAGTTCTTGTTTGAATCTGGACTACATTTTCCCATAGATATATTTAAGTAAAAGATTGTTAGGTACTCTTATACTTATAACAAAATACTTCATTAATCTTTAATTACCCAGTTAATAATATAGAAAACAGGCAATAAATGAACAAAAAGAAACTTGCCCTGGCCGGTTTTGCTCAGTGGTTAGAGCTTCGGCTGTGGACCACAGTCTCGGGATCAATTCTTGCAAAGGGCAAGTACCTTGGTTTCGGTTCATCTGGCAACTAATCGATGTCTGTCTCTCACATCAATGTTTCTTTCTCTCTCTCTCTCCCCCCCCCTTCCTCCCTTCCTCCCACTCTCTCTAAAAGTCAATTGTAAAATATCCTTGGGTGAGGATTAACAAAAAAAAAAAGGAGCTAAAGAAAACTTATGATCTCAGAGATTAATTGGATATCCAAGGAAATTTTTGCTTTGTGCATGTTTATTTTAATATAAATATGAGATCATACTGTTTTCTAGTCTGCTTTTCCCCCCATACAATATATTGTGAATTACCTATGTTAATAAATTTATTTCTAAACATTATTTAAAATTTATCATTAGTTTAAATAACACCTCTATAAACAAATATTTTATATTTATGTCCTTATGATCCCTGAAATGAATAAAAGCTTATGAAGATTTTGGATATGTATTATTAAATTGTTCTCTATGAAGACTATATCAGTTCTCAGTTCTGTCAGACACGTGTGAAAGTGCCTGTCATACGCTTGCTAGCATTGCATATTGCTATTCTTTTTTCATCTGTGTCAAGGTCATAGGTGAAAGTAGTTCAGTGTTTTAATTTTTTAGTATCTTACTGCATCTACTAATATACCCCAGGTTTTTATAGGACTTAAAGTTATTTTTAGAAAAAATGATATATCTGTGTTAGGTGAGATAATTTCTCATATTCTTCAGTTATATATGAATTATATCAGCTTACTGAGTACCATAAACACTGTCACTTACAAGGACCTCTCAGTACAGAGAAGGAGAGGTGACACTGAAGGTAAGAATTAAAATGATAAATTTAGTAGAGACTGGATTAGAAATAATTTGACACTAAATAAATGAAATGTACGTGGATTAGAAGTCCAAAAATGTTTTAAGCAATAGCAATATTGTCAAAATAGATGTGTTACCTCTTCAGGTGACATTTTGAAAAAGAAAATTTGATAATGTTAATAGATTAGATAGATAATATGTAGGACTTTCTTAAGCAATTCCTCTATGAGAGTACATTAGGCACTGCTGAAGAGAGATTGATGTACTGGAAAATGGAAGTGAAGAAATTACCCAGAAGGTAGATGAGAGACACAGATAGAAAATACAAAGAAGGTTCAGTGACATGATGAATAGAGAGAAAAGGCATACCATATATTTGGTCAGTTTCTGAAGAAAATTAGATAGATAGCCCTGACCAGTTTTGCTCAGCGGTTAGAGCGTTGGCCTGCGGACCAGAGAGGCCCGGGTTCGGTTCCCACTAAGGGCACGTACCTCAGTTGCAATTTGTCGCCGGCCCTGGTTGGGGTCATGTGGGTGGCAGCCACTCGATGGGTGTGTCTCACATCGATGTTTCTCTCTCTCGCTCTCTCCCCCTCTCTCTTTCTCCCACTCTACCTGAGGATAAATGCAAAAAAATAAAAAGAAAATTAGATAATGGGGCAAAAACCTATTTGAAGAGATAATAGCCGAGAACTTTCCAGAACTGGAACAAAGCACTAAACCATGATTTAAGAAGCCTAAATCTCCCAAGTAGGAATCCTCCCTAGACGTATAGTGAAACTGCATGACAACAAATATAAAGTCTTAAAAGCTAGAGAACATGACCGTCAAAGAAGTAGCTATGAAGGCAATTAGTCATCAATAATAGTGTAAACCAGAGGACAATGTTGATTGTTTTTAGTATGCTGGAAAAAAAACCTGCCAATTTAGATGTCTGTATCCAGCAAAGATGGGTTCTTTGCTCTTGTCAAGAACAAAGATGAAATAAATAGCTATTTACACAAGCAAAGCTGAGTGAGTTTGCCACCACACCTTCAATAATGGAATTCTAAGTTCAGAGAGCAGAAATGTTTTCAAATGGAAGGTCTGAGATAGTAGAAGGAATGAAGAAAAAAGAAAATGGGAAATATGTATGTAAAACTAATTTTGTCTTTTAGGATTAACAAAGATGGAATTAAAATAGAAGACAACAATAGCATATAAATTATGAAGGGATGTTCTCAATTCCTTATGTTTTTTTTTGAGGGAGAAAGTTAATCATATATTAACTTTAGCCTTTAATATGTTTAGTATGCATATTAATATTTGCAAGGTAACCACCAAAAGAAGAAAGAATATATTATTTCTAGATTAGTGGAGGAAAAATAAGGAATAAAAATTTTCCAAAAGAAAGGGAAAGAAAAAAAATAGAAAAGGTATGATAAATAAAAAGCACAAGAAATGGCTACAAGTAAATCCATATATTACTAATTATTATATAGAGGTACTAAATATTCAGAAGGATAGAGAATGATTCAAATACATTTTAAACAAAAGAAAGCTGGTGAGCTATATTAATATTGTACAAAATAGGGTGTAAGCTCAGCTGGTGTGGCTCAGTGGCTGAGCATCAACCCATAGACCAAGAGGTCACTGGTTTGATTCCCGGTCAGGGCACATGCCTGGGTTGCAGGCGTGATCCCCAGTGGGGGCCGTGCAGGAGGCAGCTGATCTATGTGTCTCTCATTGATGTTTCTATCTCTCCCTCTTCCTTCCTCTCTCTCTAAAAATCAGTAAAAATATTTTTTAAAAAAATAGGGTTTAAGGGGGGAAAATGACTAGAAATGTAAGGTCACTCATAATAAAAAAAAAGTCAATTTATCTAGAAGATAAAACAGTTCTGAACTTATATGATTTTTATATTTAAATATATGCATAAAAAATTATTAACTTCAAGGAGAAAACAAATGTATCATGGGGAAGATTGTCACACACATCATCATATACTTCAGTTAATCAGACAAATACAAACAGAAGAAGGATACACAAGATACAAACAGCACTACGTAAAATCTTGCTCTAAAAGGTATATGTAGAATGCTGCATTTGGGCCTGATGTTCAGCTAATACACATTTGTTCAGCTGTGCCAGTTATTAAAATGTTGATAAATGTCCATAGTAGTTGAATAGTTACTACCCCAAGCCCTTTGAGTGCCCTCCCAATGCTTCATCCCCTTCCATGGGACCTCCCAGAATAACTTTTGTTGTTGTTGTTAATCCTCACTCAAAGATATTTTTCCACTGATTTTTTTTTTTTAAGGTAGAGTAGAAGGGAGGGAGGGAAATAGAGAAACATCAATGAGAGAGAAACACATGGATCGGCTGCCTCCTACAGGTTCCCCAACAGGGGCTGGGGATCAAACCTGCAACCCAGGCACGTGCTCCTGA